AATTGTTCATCACCATTCATGACTAGATAACGGCAGGACTGCAGAGCTTAGATCTGATCCATCAGTTGTGGAATCGCTTAGCTCTGTTTCTTGCTCCTTCTGCTGTTTGGCACACAAATAGTCCTATGTTGGAGCTTCGCAACCTCATCTCTAAATATGTGCAGTGCTGTTCCTGACACGCCATCCTGCACCCTTTCTTGATCCCTAACTTTAAGTACCCTAAGATCCCTAAGTACCCTAACTTTATGGTGGTTATAGAATGATGTATATGCCTTACCATGAGGTTGCAGGTTGTGGTAGGAATGCAATTTTGCTGTGGCTGATGGTCCACAGTATCTCACAGTTGCCCTGTCTTGAGTTACTAAATCTGTCCAAGACCTATCCCATTTACCAATGGTGGTGCCACACAACACAATATATGGTATCCTCAATGTGAAGGTGGGACCTTGTCTCCACAAGTATTGTGCGATGGTCACTTTTACCAACACTATACTGGAAAGATGCAGCTGCAGCAGGCAAGTGGGTGAGGATAAGGTCAAGTGCGTTTTTTTTCTTTTGTTGGTTCCTTCAGCAGGTCTAGCAACCATATCCTTTAGGACTCCACCAGCTCAGTCAGTAGTGGTGCTGCTGAGCCACTCTTGATGATGGACGTTGAAGAACCCCATCAAGACTGATTGTCACATGTACCGGAGTACAGTGAAAAGCTTTGTTTATGAGCACTACAGGCAGATCATAGTAAGCAAGGATGTACAGATCAAAAAGGTTGTTTTAAAAAAAACTTAGAGGCATACAGGTTAGATTGCACAGGGTGTGTGCTAGGCAAGATCAACATTAGCAAGATCAGCATTATTTGAGGCAAGACAGTCCATTCATCAGTCTAATAATGGCCAGGAAGAAGTTGTTCCTGAACCTGCTGGTGCATGTGTTCAAGCTTCTCTATCACCTGCCTGACAGAAGAGGTTGTAGGAGGTCATTACCGGGGTGGGATGGGTCTTTGATGATGTTGGCAGCCTTTCTGTGGCAATGAACTGTGTAAATGGAGTCAATGGATGGAAAGAGATAGTAGGAACTGCAGATGCTGGAGAATCTGAGATAACAAGGTGTAGAGCTGGATGAACACAGCAGGCCGAGCAGGAAAGCTGACGTTTTGGGCCTAGACCCTTCTTCAGAAATGGGGGGGAAGGGGGTTCTGAAATAAATAGGAGGAGGCGGATAGAGGAGAAGATAGGTGGAGAGCAGACAGACCGGTCAAAGAGGCGGGGATGGAACCAGTAAAGGTGAGTGTAGGTGGGCAGTTAGGGAGGGGATAGGTCAGTCCAGGGAGGACGGACAGGTCAAGGGGGCGGGATGAGGCTAGTAGGTAGGAGGTGGGGGTGGGGCTTGAGGTGGGAGGAAGGACAGGTTAGGGAGGCAGGGACCAAGGAGGCGCAGTTGTCGTATGGCGCACTGACCTCCACGTCGCCGAGGCCGGATGCCAACTCTCCGACACCACCTCCTACCGCCCCCTTGATCATGACCCCACCTCCAACTACCAAACCATCCACAACCTCGTCATCTCGGGTGACCTCCCACCCACAGCCTCCAACCTTATCGTTCCCCAACCCCGCACCGCCCGCTTCTATCTCCTTCCCAAAATCCACAAACCTGACTGCCCCGGTCAACCCATTGTCTCTGCCTGCTCCTGCCCCACCGAACTTATCTCCACCTCTCTCGACTCCATTTTCTCCCCCTTGGTTCAGGAACTCCCTACCTATGTCCGTGACACCACCCACGCCCTCCACCTCCTCCAAAACTTCCAATACCATGGACATCCAGTCCCTATACACCTGCATTCCCCATGCAGGTGACCTAAAGGCCCTCTGCTTCTTCCTGTTCCGCAGGCCCGACCAGTCTCCCTTCACTGACACCCTCATCCGCTTAGCCAAAGTCATCCTCACCCTCAACAACTTCTCTTTCAATTCCTCCCACTTCCTACAGACAAAGTTGTGGCCGTGGGTACCCGCATGGGCCCAAGCTATGCTTGCCTCTTTGTAGGTTATGTGGAACAATCCCTCTTCCGTAGCTACACTGGCCCTAAACCCCACCTCTTCCTCCGTTACATTGATGACCGTCTCGGCGCTGCCTCGTGCTCCCATGAGGAGCTCGAACAGTTCATCCACTTCACCAACACCTTCCACCCCAACCTTAAGTTCACCTGGACCATCTCCAATACCTCTCTCTCCTTCCTGGACCTCTCTGTTTCCATCTCTGGCAACCACCTGGAAACCAATATCCATTTCAAGCCCACCGACTCCCACAGCTACCTAGAATACACCTGCTCCCACCCACCTTCCTGCAAAAATGCCATCCCCTATTCCCAATCCTCTGCCTCCGAGGATGAGGCATTCCACTCCCGAACATCTCGGATGTCCTCGTTTTTCAAGGACCGCAACTTCCCACCCCCTCGGTGGTCGAGAACGCCCTCGACCGTGTCTCCCGCAACTCATCCCTCACACCCCTCCCCGCAATAACAACCAAAACAGAATCCCCCTCGTCCTCACGTACCACCCCACCAACAACCGGATCCAATACATCATCCTCCAACACTTCCGCCATCTGCAATCCGACCCCACCACCAAAGACATTTTTCCCTCCCCACCCTTTATCTGCTTTCTGGAGGGACCACTCTCTCTGGGACTCCCTTGTCCGCTCCACACTCCCCTCCAGCCCCACCACACCGGCACTTTTCCCTGCAACTGCAGGAAGTGCTACACCTGCCCCTACACCTCCCCCCTCCCCCCTCACCCCTCACCCATCTCAGGTCCCAAGAAGACTTTCCACATCAAGCAGATGTTCACCTGCACATCTGCTAATGTGGTATACTGTATCCGCTGTTCCTGTTGTGGCCTCCTCTACATCGGGGAAACTAAGCGGAGGCTTGGGGACCGCTTTGTGGAACACCTACGCTCGGTTCGCACTAAACAACTGCACCTCCCAGTCGCGAACCCTTTCAAATCCCCCTCCCATTCCTCAGACGACATGTCCATCCTGGGCCTCCTGCAGTGCCACAACAATGCCACCCGAAGGCTGCAGGAACAGGACCTCATATTCTGCTTGGGAACCCTACAGCCCAATGGTATCAATGTGGGCTTCACAACCTTCAAAATCTCCCCTCCCCCTACCGCATCCCAACTTGTCCCTTCCTCCCACCTATCCTCTCCTCCCACCTCAAGCCCCACCCCCACCTACTAGCCTCATTCCCGCCCCCTTGACCTGTCCGTCCTCCCCGGACTGACCTATCCCCTCCCTAACTCCCCACCTACACTCACCTTTACTGGCTCCACCCCTGCCTCTTTGACCTGTCTGTCTCCTCTCCACCTATCTTCTCCTCGATCCATCTTCTATCCACCTCCCCCTCTCTCCCTATTTATTTCAGAACACCCTTCCCCTCCCCCATTTCTGAAGAAGGGTCTAGGCCCGAAACGTCAGCTTTTGTGCTCCTCTGATGCTGCTTGGCCTGCTGTGTTCATCCAGCTCTACATCTTGTTAGCTCAATGGATGGAAAGCTAGCTTCCGTGATGGTCTTTAAGAGTACATTCTGCACCCTTGTTAGCCACAGTGCTTCCCCTAAGTGCTGTTCAACATGATGGAGCACTGATTCTTCAGTCGAGGGGTTTGAGTGATCAGCAAGCGAATTTGTTGCACACTGATTAGATGTCATGAGACTTCATGGGGTCTGAGTCAATGCTGAGGACTCAAGGGCAACTCTTTCCCAATTATGTACCACTGTGCTGCTACCTCTGTTGGTTCTGTCCTGCCAGTGGTACAGGACGTACCCATAGATGATAATATTGTTGTCTGGGACATTGACTTTAAGGTATGATTTTATAAGTATAACCATATCAGAACGTGCTTGATTGCTCTATGAGACAGCTTTCCCAATTTACAGTGTGGAAACAGGCCCTTCGGTCCAACAAGTCCACACCGACCCAGAGCATCCACCTAATCTACACATCCCTGAATGCAACAGGCAATTTAGCATAGCTAATCCAGTCGCCCAAGGGTGGAATCGAACCTAGGTCCCTGGTGTTGTGAGGCAGTAGTGCTAACCACTAAGCCACCGTGCTGCCCTTTTGTCACATTGAGCCTGCGCTGGTCAAAAACAAGCACCTAATTATTTTCTGATGAAGGGTCTAGGCCTGAAACGTCAGCCTTCCTGCTCCTATGATGCTGCTTGGCCTGCTGTGTTCATCCAGCTCTACACCTTGTTATCTCAGATTTTCCAGCATCTGCAGTTCCTACTATCCCTAATTATTCTGATTCCATTTTCCATGACTTGGTCCATAGCCTTGTATTCCTTGGCATTGCAAATGCACATCTAAATACTTGAGTGTTATGAGGATTTCTGCTTCCACTGAATTTGCAGGCAGTAAGTTCCAGATTTGCACCACTCCACATGAAAAAAAGTTTCTCACATCCTCTCTAAATCTCTTGCCTCTTACTTAAATCTATGCCCTAGTCATTAATCCCTCCACTAAGGGGAAAAGTTTCTTCCTATCTACCCTATGTCGCTCATAATTTTGTGTATCTTAATCATATCTCCCCTTAGCCTCCTCTGCTCCAAGGAAAACAAATGCATTCTATTCAAAACAAAAGCAGAAATTACTGGAAAAATTGGGCAGGGTGGGCATCATCTATGGAGAGAAATTCGGCGCGTTAACTCTGCTTTCCCCCACAGATGCTGTCGGACCTGCTGAGTTTCTCCAGCAATTTCTGTTTTTGTTTTACATCTCCAGGAGCTGCAGTTCTTTTGTTTCATCCGATTCTATCTGATCTCTGTGCGCAAGTCAAACTTTTCAGCCTGGGCAACATCCCGGTAGGGAGATAAGATAGAGTCACGGGCACAATTCTCGAGCGTACAGGGAGGGGTAAAAATAAAGTCATCATTGTCCCAGAGGACTGTTCGTACATAGCAGGAACTGCAGATGCTGAAGTCGGAGTTAGCACAGTGTGGAGCTGGAGGAACACAGAAGGCCAGGCATCTTCAGGGGAGCAAGTCGGAAACGTCAACTTTCCTGCTCTTCTGATGCTGCCTGGCTTGCTGTGCTCCTCCAAAGGGCTGTTGTCTCGTTAGAGATAGTCGACTGGTGGCGGTTTAACGTGGCCGTCTCCACACCTCAGGTAAGAGGGAGAAGTCGAGAAGGAGGGACCTTCAATGGCAACCGCAGCCAGTGCGGAAATTGAAGCCGTGCTGTTGGCATCACTGTGCATTGCAATCCAGCCAAGTGAGTGAGGTACTCAACTCTGATCGAATGGAACCAGACACACTCTCACACGAGCAGTCACCGGGAGACGAAAAAGTACATCCGGTGCGTAGGTCAGGGTCTGATGTCATCTCCGGTTGTGCAGCAGCCATTTTGTCAATCCGAGGAAACCTTTCCCGCTCCGTGCGTCCGAAACCGAGCCACTTCACAACATCCGAATTAAAAAAAAATAAAAGCAACACTGGAAAGAACTTCCTTGTCAGAAAAACAAGCCTCCTGTTATTTTGTTTTCCTCTTTGTTTCAATTTAGCCTCTGTCGACCGCCCCAGCGAGGCCTCGGCTGGTAGCCACAGCGGGGAGGGTGGCTGTGTGACATGTCGAACGAGGAGAGTTACAAAGCCATCATCCGCTACCTGACCAACGAGAAGGAACCTTATGCGCCGGGGACCGAGGGCAACGTCAAGAGGAAGATCCGCAAGGCTGCTGCCTGCTACGTGGTGCGGCGGGGGACCCTGTACTACCAGAAGAAGCGCAAGGACCGCGACGAGTTCGACGAGCTGGAGGTGGTGCTGGAGGCCAAGAGCCGGCGGGAGCTGATCGCCTCCTTCCACCAGAGCGCCAAGGGCTTCCACTTGACCCGGGAGCAGACCTGGAAGAACATCTCCCAGAACTACTGGTGGAGAGGTGAGCAATTTGCAGGGGAGAGCTCAGGCCCTGTAGCCGGTACCGCGTGTCCTCCCCTGAGCTGGGGCGGGGGGCAGTGGGGAAGCTGCAGCCAGGGACACTTAGGGGCGGGGAGAGCAGGAAGAGAAGAGGACACGCTCATTAATCAAGCGGTGGGCTAGCGAATGCAGGTGAGAATCCGGCCACTCGCTCCTCCACCCATTCAGCCGAAATCCTCCTCCCAAAAGGTAACGAGCCTTTTGTTTTGCTCGACCCTCATTGAGCAGGATTAAAACATTTATGTAAGATACAAATTATCATTTTGAATGGTACCGCCTGAGCTGCCGACATTTTAATTTTGTAAAATCATCTCTCTTCCATTGTGTTTCTGCACAAACCTTCTTTAATAAATTTTCTTTTAATACATTGAAATCATCGGCATGTAGGTTGCTAATTTGTGTTTTTTTTAAAATAATGTTTAATATCCTTTTTTAAATATTAGATCAGATTTGATCATTCGATTTCCTCTAGTTTTAATGTTGATGACTCTAAAATTTGCTCGTCAGCCTGCTTGAAACATAAGGATTGCAAGACAAAAAAGCAGTCCAAGATTCATCTTATTTGATCTGCCACCGTCCCAGTTCTCACGTGATAAAATACTAGTTTAGTTATTGACTGTTCTAGGATTATCCTAGGGTGCAAAGGTAATAGAATGTTTTCTTTTAT